GGTTCAGGTAAAGCACGGTGAATGTATTATTGACTCAATAATATAATACATGACTTTGAGAGTAGGCAATCTAGGCATATTAACAAAATTAATTAAACATACTTATCACAGTGACGGTGTACTGAGATTATTATAATCTTTTTTTTCAATTTTTGTTGTTGTTGCTAAGGGGCCCCTAGTGGCTGCGGGGCCCTAAGCGGCCGCTTATGTCGCTTAATGGGTCGGTCCGGCTCTGCGTGTGTGCATATAATTTATGCACTGGAGATATAATTTCAGCTGCCTGTGGGAAATATATTGTATGTATGTATGTATGTATGTATGTATGTGTGTGTATATATATATATATCTATATATATATATAGCATTCGAAGGATTTACACTGCTTTTTCCACAAAAGATTTACAAGGTGCTGCTATCAAATGTGGCTAATATGCAGGAATTTAGCCAGAGTTGAGTTGTGAATCATTAGCCTCCATGTGGCTCTGCTGTCTAATGCATGCATCTCTTAGTGGGTTGTGATATCATCAGAGAGAGAATGTCTGAAGCCTTAAGCAAGGTTGTAAAAATAGACAGGAGTACCAAATACAAAATGTACTTTGCTGCGAGGTAAGGGCACTGCGAGACTTTGAAAGAACAGATTCGGTTAGTAGACCTATGTTCTATGACGCTTGTGGGGGTGTTTTCTTTTTAAATTGTCAGACATCAATGAAATTGGCAGCTATTCAGAAGACAGCCAGAGATGTCTGCAGGAAAGTAGACATGCAACATGAGGCCTGACATCTTACAATATGTATTCATGCTTTACCATTAACAGAAAGAAAGTAAAGTTCACACTTTTGACACTTTAGCTCAGAGCCAAAACAAAGAAGGCATAGAAAAGACGAAATGTTGGATCTTGTTTTGGATTTGTTTTTTAGGAAAATGCAAAATAAAGACTTGGATTGATGTGCATAGATATATAGAAAGTGTAAATGTGTTTTAACATCCCTCAAAAAAAGGATTGATCGAAGCATTCCCAAAAAGTGTATCCTAAATAACATTGTTTTGGGTGTGTAGCATGTACAGTAACAGGGTTAGAACATCCCCTATCCCCGAAAATACGGTAATGGGTTAATGACACTATTATTTGTTAATATATTTGCTGACAAAAAAAACAATGAATCCCCGCAGTGGTTATTCCCATGACTTTATCGGGCTCTTAGCATGCCAGAAAAGGAGTCCGATTTTCCACTTGGTTCCAATACGCTTGTTGTAATTTGGTTATTTGCTTATTTTGGAAAATATGCACTACTAAACCTCAAAATCACCTGAAATGATAAAGGCTTTAAGGCAGGTCCTGCGTTACTGCGTAATTGTTTTTTCGAGGCGTTCTAAATCTAGTTTTAAGGCCTTATTATTTGAGTTTTCGTCTTGCTAAAATGCTGCATATTCCTAAATAAATGTCTGTTTAATCACATTTCCACCAACTAATTGACACAGAGCCAACCGGGGGCCATGTCGCGCTGCAGCTCAGGAGGACTTGTTGGGGTGCTCGGGCTGAGGGCGGGATATCATTAAAGTGCCAACTGTAGTGTGCTATGTGCACAGGGGCCGATGGGTACTTGTACATAATATGAAGAGTTGGAGGATGTGGGGGACAACAAATTATATTATATTAGTAAACTTAGTATTAGTATAATAGAATTGTAACACATTTAGTTAAGATTAACTTTGATAAGCTCTCTCGCTGTGTCACTTCAATATTTCACTGTTATGTTCCTCTTTTTGTTCCTTTCTCATAGCCCTTTTTATCCTAAATACTTATAATTCTCTTTTTGTCTTCAGTGCACATGTATTGATAATAAAATACATCAAAAAGTACCCTAACAATCAAAAATTTGGAAAAATGTTTTAGTCATATTGTACATCTGTCTAGTGGTATTGTACATCTGTGTAAGGTAAATATAATAAGCAATATATCTGGTGATATAATAACAAAAATACCATAAAGTAAAGAAGCCTTATTTTTCTATAGCCTTAGATCCTATGTTTTCTACATAAAGTATACATCCATGATTCTATATATATATATGACATATATCTGTCATCAAAGACCACTCTGTAGTCAAGCGGTGAATATTTCTTGGTCTTTACGGCAGATGAACAAGTAATGGTTATTCCTTTTTAAATTGATACTAAGGGAATGTGTCACATTCAATCTTTGGGTGGCAGCTATGATGGTTATTATGATTTGAACATACTGATTTCTTCATTGTACTAAGTTCAAAGTCTCAGGCGTGGTCATGTTTTAGGATGTGTCCCCCCGATTCTTCCTCGTATGGTTCAGGTTAATCCTCCTTGTCTCTAACACAGCCAACTGTCACACAGCTCCTATTGTCATCTAATTTGTACTCACAGTGCGCACAATGTTCTGTAGTGCGTTTTCCAACTTGGCTGAAGGCGTCCCCTCATCCTCTTCCTGTGTAGCGCCTCCTTATTGTGGAACTTGCTAATGATCCGAGGGACTCTATTCTGTAACTGGCTGCACTGAGGGACAGATGTTGCTGCAGGCTCTTTAATTTGTCTGAGTCAAATTAGAATACAATGAATTCTATAAACCCTCCAGGGTCGTCATTCAATCAGCGCTGCCTTGTGTTTTCAAAGCAGAAGAATTATGCAAGGAAAGAAAAATGGGTCAAACTTGATTTATTATTTAATTCTATAAAAAGATAAAGTCCAGGCCAAGTGTTTGGACTCTGGAGGAATCATTAGGTTGGTCTTGTTGTTTGGTAAATACTAAGGGCGTTCTTTATTGTTCTGAAGGGAGCCAGTTGAACACACTTTGGACAGTTTGGATACTTTTGTTTTAAAGGCTGGCAAAACAAATGTAATAAGCAAAATATTTTTTAGTATTCTGTGTCCTTGTCTTTCTCAGCCTGAATAATAAATGATCAAAGAAAAAAAGAATTCTTCTAAATAAATGTGTGATGGACTTAGAGTTTAGTTTATGTGACAGGGAGGAAGCAATTTAATATATTTTCAATACAGAGATGAAACTGATTCAATTAGTAGTTTAAAAACTCAAATTTCCATATTACAATTCAAATGTTTACAAATTCACAGTACATTTTTCAATACTAGGTCAATTTATTGTGAGCTTTTGCCAGCATTCTTCCATGTTCAGGATATTTTATCATAAATTAATTGGATTTCAGATGGTAATATCTTTCAAAGTTGACAACACTTGATTGAAAACATTTGTATCTACAATATGCTATTTTACAGTTTTGTTTTCTTGAAAGAAACTCTGGGGCCAGACTGATAATACATTTCAAGAATATATTTGAGAAAACACTGCATTCAAACCCAACAGTTGACTTTATCTTCAAACATTTAACTCTTGGCGACAGTTCACTGGAAAGCCCATTCCCCGTAGAGAGCCGTTTGGACCCCACAAAGACAAGCAAATAATCTAAATCTGGAAACAAACTGGTGCGCTGATTAAAGTATAAAGTTCTGCAGAATCGTTTCCATAACCACTGTCAGGGGCATCGCTGATAACGTGACTCCCTTCATTGTGATTGTTGATCATCGATCACATCGCTGTCTAATTTAAAAAGATTCCAACATATTCATGGCGTGTAACAAAAACATGACGCGAGCGGCGGTCCAAGTTATCACGGGAGGGATCTGCTTATTCTACCAACACATTTCACACCAGGCTGATGCATAATTGTCCTTCTGTTTGGCCAGAATGTGGATATCAGCTAATTGAGACATTAAGGAGACGCCAGCCAAGACGGTGTCCTGAATGGCCGCTTGTTTGGGAGCCTTCTGTCTCTCCTCACCCTTAAAGGCAGTTTGTGTTTGGCAGAGCATTGGGCGCAGGAACACAGCCATTTACAACATTTAGTGTCCCCTCCCTCTGTGTCTGGGCACTGCTGCATTTAAAGTCTCTCCAAAAAAACAATAAAGACAGAACACTTTCATACATCTTGGCTGTGCATTAGACTGTACGAGGTCAGGAAGCTTAACCCAGCCAGTCTCATTTGAGCTTCACATTTAAATAAATGCATACCAATGAGCCCGGGTTACTTCTCCTGGAAATAAAAACATAACTTATCTATGACCTTCTCACTTTTAAATTATTGCTAATATTGGGTAATTGCTGAATAAATATAATGTACTCCTACGCGTCTGTGTGTGGGACAATGGAATACTTGCTCTTGTAACATTTGCACTTTTATTTGCTTAGGCCTACTAAAACTTGACAGATGTTGAAGTTTTTAAAAAGGGTAGTATTGCTACTTCGACCTTTGTAATGAGAAATTCGAGGGCATGCACCATTTTTTCAAACTTAACAGTTATAAAGAAGTATGTCAATATAGAATATATATATATATATATATATATACCATGTGACACAAGGGGAGCTCTATACTTTTTATTTTGAAATGAGATTATCAATTGCACACAAGCAGAGGTTTACATGTTACACAGTGTTGATGTATTTGCCTCGTCATATTTGCATTGTACTCACTTAATGTGACAGTTTTAGAATATTTATAAACCTGCTTGAGACTGGATTTCATTTGAATGCAATGCCTTGTACAGACTTGCAATTCAACTGATGCCAGGCTTTTACTCTTTAAACATTCTTTGTTGCATTCCTTCCAATCTACAATCACACAAAAGTTTGTTGTGTTTAGTTGTTTTCATGTTACAAATTGTGTTTCCTTCTCGCTTCCCCAGGGGCCACTGTTGCATCAACATCAAATTATAACTTGTAATAGTTTGTTTTATTTTAATCTACTTTGTTTTAGCTATTAGGATGTATCCATGAGGGATTGGTTTACTTGTCACGCACCAGAGATTAAATTGCTTAAATGAAAAGTGTTGGAAAATATCCTCACCTCCACTGCAGAGCCATGAATAGCTATTCTTGGGTTTTGTCTATGGTTTTTACACACACCATTTTCAGGGTTTAAATGTATTTATCTTTCATGTTCTCTGTCCCACAGTGTGGACCTGGTGCACGCCCAGCTGCATGTGTGTGAGGGCCGCAGCCTGCCTGAGCTGTCCCTCAAACAAGACAAGATCAGAGTGAACGGCTGCGCCATCCAGTGCAGAGTGACCACCGAGGACCCGTCCAGAGGCTTCCAGCCCGACACCGGCAGGATCGAGGTAGGGGTCACTTTGGAATGACTTTCAGGTTATGTGTTGCTGCGGTCAGGGAGACCACATGTTGACAGAGGAGCAATTACTCCTCTGTGAGATGCAATTTCTGGAGTCTGGAGAAAATCTGTTGAAATTATCTGGTAAAAATATGTTTCTAAGTAAGTCATTGTTCCTCCCCATGGGGGGCAGAAACACAAGGATCATGCATAAGAATACATCAGTCAAAAAAAGAGAATAGATGATTTAATGCCAGATACAGTTAGCTATTAGCTAGCAGTCTCCGGCCAGATACAAACATAACAATCGGTCAATACTTGATCATTATTTTTTATAAAAAAGACACAAGTACAACTATAATCCTATTAGTTTCACCCAAAAACTCAGATTACTGTCAAGTTAATGTTGAACAGTTTGTTTTGCACCTTGGGACAAAGTGTGAAAGTCTGTGCACGTTTTATTCTCGGCTGGAAGCATGTTCCAAGGCTTGATGGCCCTAAATGAAAAGGCAGAGTGTGTGGCAGCAGTGTTTCTCAATGGGATCTTCAAGTCTGTGTTTACAGCAGATCTTGAGGTTCTGCCCAAATTCTCACAGTGGAGCTGAACAAAGCTGCTCAATAGTGGAACAGCAGCATTTTATCTTGAATACTAATACAGAATGAGATTTTTAATCTTGAATTTTTTTATTGCGGTGTCCAGCCAAACAAAGACAAAGCATGGCTTTTGTCAGTACTTGCAACTTTAGCAATGACAGCAGTTTGTATTTCAATCAGATGGTGCATTAAACACTTCCAGGCTGGGTTAACGCTGATTGGTAAAACGCCAGACCCCAACTGGGCTCCGGATTAATTAAACAATATAGTGCTTCCTGCTTTTAACTAAGCAAATATGTAGGCAGTTTCAGAAAAGACCATATGTTATATAGTGTATACTTAGCCTATAAAGCAGCATGGCATCACATTAAAGTATTGTTCCCCAGCCTGGTCTCTGCAGCATACATCTGCAGGTGTATCAACACACACTAGGGATGTGTATCTCCATCACCGAGGCCGATGCGATGTGCATCTCGATACGTTGCCTACGATACATTAATGATACATTTGAAGCACCAGGCGATGCCATGCGATATGATACGATTCATCCCTGTTGCGATACAGTTCAATATGATATGATTCAACATTATGCCATTCGGGGCGATACGATGCGATTCAACACGATGCAAAATAATGATACAATTCAATATGGCACGACAGAGGATTTTGTTTTATTCCTTATATGCAGCAAATCATAAATCAACAAAAAAGTGCTTTACATATTTGGTTCTCTCTACTAGTACTGCACATCCCATCATGCAGTTTCTTTTTTACCTTTTTAAAAAACAAACACTTGGACCTTTCACAAACAGGACTTTTCACAAGTGTAGTATTGTTCTCTGTCTCCAGAGTACAGTTCAATGTCATAACACCTCACAGTTAAACCATTTAAGGATGCATTGCCCAGGATTAACAATGTGCAAATAACAACTACCATAGTGCAATGTATGTAAGTAAGTAACGTTTATTTATAAAGCGCTTTTCACAGACAAAGTCACAAAGTGCTTGACAAAACAATGAGACATCCATATAGGAGGCTTACAATGATCAATGAACCCCATGTGGGTTAAGAAGGCATAAAAGCACCAGAGCATAATTTAAGACACAATAAAAACACAATAAAACAAAACTTACAAATGAAATTTAAAACAAACAAAAATAAAAACATAGTATTAAATGGAATAAGATCAAGCACACCACCAAACGCCTGGCCAAACAGGAATGTCTTTAAAATAATTTTAAAAGAGTCAAAAGACTCCGCAGACCGTAGATGAGCAGCCAGAGCATTCCATAATTTAGGAGCCAATGCTGCGAACGCTCGATCACCGCAATGCCCATACAGCTGCTAGCCTGATGTGCTTAACACTCATTCATGGGCTAACTCACCAGTGAGCAGAAAGCAGTGGTTTCTATATGAACAATAAAGAATACAAATAACTTTTCACAATTTCATAACTGCTTACAGTAAGGAAGACATTTAAACTACTATTGGCAGTCAGTGTGCTGTAAACTAAACACCACTCTCTCTGACAGAACACCTCACTGAGTGATTTAACTCATATGTCTAACTTTCAGGTTTTTACTTTCAGACGCAGACCCCACGTCGTACTAGCTTACTTGTGTACTTTAAAGCAGCACGGCATCGTTTACAATTTGAGAGCGATTTTTCAAGTTGTCCGTCTTTCTTGTTTTGCCAAACGTTTGATTTGTAGCTATTTTTCGGTGCGCTGTGTTTCGTTTTCTCCTCGACTTCCATGTTTGTTGATAACTGAGACTCTCGCTCTCCGTAGTGCGAAACAAAGATCAAAGATCGTCTCTGCTGAGTGCTGACAGGATGAGAGGATATGATATGAAATCGTTTTTTTACCAATGCAAAGACGCTACCCAATCGATGCATCGCGAGTTCAACCCAAACTGTAGCCGATGTGCACTCTTTCAACCGGTGCACTCACATTTTGAACGTTTATGCCGGTACACCAATGCGAATCGGTGAATCTTCACTGCGCTAATGAGAGCGACAAACTGAACAATGAAGAGCTGAGAGTGGATTCTCCTTTATAGCACACTCAGTGTTTTCATTCACTCCGTCTATACCAGAAATATCAGCTAATATAGCTTTGTGCTAATAAGAGAAAACATGTCCTCCTGAAATAAGTGTGTGCACATGTGTTCAGTCACAGCTGCAGGGATCAACCAGCACTTGAATAATGGGTCTGTCACATTGATCCATATATTAACTTTCAGCCCTGCAATTATAAACTTACATTGCCATGTGAGGCCTGTGAGTTGGAGGCTGTGATTTCCCCTTATTTCTGTATGCCTGACTGTGTGCATCTTTATCTGTGAGAGGGATGTATACCGTGCCTTTAGTGTCCATGTGCATTTGCATGAGAGGACAGGTGATTTTCTTTGACTGTCCACATATGTGATGACGTATTTTAGACTCTATAGGAGTGCTCTGTGTATCCTTCCACATGGCACACACCCTGTGAATCACGCCATTTCTCTGTGTCCCTATAAATCTTTCTCTCGCTGATGAGGTGTGACCCTCGATGCTTTTTGCTGTCATGCCTTTGCCCTTCACCCTGGACTGTACACCCACCTCCTCTTCTTCCATCCCATCCCTTTCTTTAATGTGTTTCTTTCTGCTGATTCTTTATTAGCTTGTTTTAAAGCCTTAACGTTGTTTCCAAGTGCTTGACGAATAATTAAATGACAATGAAAGCCAGTTTGAATCAATACAAATGGCACATTAGTTAAAACAAGGTTTAATGGGAACAAAACAGCCATTTTATCAGAATAAAAACAAATCACGCCATGTATTAAAGTTAATGTTAAGAGATAATGGTGATTCTGACCCCAGCCGAGGATAGTGCTTAGAAAGCCTTCTGGCTATGTCTGGCCTCTGTTTGTACCCTAGTCTACTCTCTGCTGGAGTGTGTTTTAGGAGAACAGTTCATTTAACTCTTATAAAGAGACAGTTCACCCTAAAAACAAAAACGTACATGTTCTTCTTTCGTATAGTGCTATTATCAATCTAAGGTGTTGTGATGTTGCAAGTGTTGTCAGCACTTTAATGTAGGAACTATTTTCTCTCCATCATGGCATCGCCTCTCATCTTGAGTCTCACTCATGATTTCTGGAAAGAGACTTTGCTCTTGAGATTTTTCCAAATGTATTTTTTTGTTTGTTTGAGCACCATGAACTGAGTGCCATCTAGTTCCATTAGATTGGAGAGAAGGCAGACATGTCTACGACCAACAATCAGCCCCTCACACCACAACAACATGGATTGAAAAAAAAGCACTGCAGGTAGAGGACATTTTTATTTTATTTGGGTGAGCTCAACAGAGCAGATAAGCAAAAAAACAGGTAACATGGTGTGTTTTCCCTCAGTTTTCTTGGCTGTGGTATCAGAAACATTGATTTACAGCTGAGCAGTGAGGGGAAGCTCATCAATGATATTATCTGCATGTCAAATGTACTGCCATTGGGGAACTATACATTTGGCAGAGACCCTCTGGTTTCTTACTGTTTCTCCCCTTCTTTCCACTTGTCATGGATGCAGTGAATAAAATACTGCTGCTGCTGCATGGTGGCTTTACACGCTGGCTTTTGACTCCTTGGATGTGATTGAATTCGCCCCGCACCGCTGGCTTTCCAATCCAACAAATCATCGTCTGTAGGTTCTGAGGGGGAGAGTTAATGCTTATGTTGTGCACACAGATTTATTTCAATTGCATTTAAATCCATTAATTAACCCCCCATGGGGTCATTAAAAGGTTTATATGGCTCAATGGTCAGACCAAACTGTTTATTTTAAGCCTGATAAATCACCACAGTCAGGTGAGACATTTCCTTGTCAATTGAGCTTCTTGAGCTATATTCAAATCAGTAGCATACATTTCAGACGCATGTCCGTAAAACATTTTGTGAACACCACCATTATTTGGATTTCACACTTTCAGGTAGCATTACTGCTCACTGTGAAAACAGCTGCTTGCAATACATTTCACCTCAGAGCGGAGTCACTGTAGAGTAGCTTGTGACCTTTCCACTTCAAGGACTTCCTTTCCCATATATTTCTTCTCCTCCAGCATCACTTGATGCTTCCCTCCCACTTATACCACTCATCTTGACATAATGTAAATGTTACCTCCCACATCTTTATCCTCCCTGCTTCTAGCACTGCGTCTCCCTCTCTTCACTTATCTCCATCTCTCTGTCTGCCCCCTTCCTCCGTCTGTTTCTCTGCCCTCCTACACCGTTCACCCCCCCAGTTGAGCTATGAAAAGGGACAACCCTGACCCCTTTTATCATTACCACGCAATATACATGAACCAAACACAATCAACACAGGAAAAGTGTAGATGGAGGAATGCCATGTTGGAGGGACACATGAATAAATCATTATCC